GTAGTAGACAAGGCTTACATGTAAGAGCTGGTTAGAATTATTTTTGGTTGAAGGTGCATGCCTTTCAGTGAAGTATGCAATAGCATTGAAGCCAGTAAATAATTCAAGGTACAAATTCCTCCCTTCCATCCATCTTCTGAAGCTTTACTGACATGGCCAAAAAGCAAGTCCGATCCCCACCACAAGTGACGATCACAGGAGTTAGAAGCAACCAGTTCCAGATATCCCAAGCCAGCACGAAGAATCGCCGCCTTGCAGCTCAGATGGCCAACAGACCGGATATCCAAGCTGCCCTTGGAGGAAACTCTCCCAGCCTTAAAAGCAGACTTGGCTCACCAAACAGAGGCGGAGGAAGAGGAGGAGGTGCTAAAAGTGGAGGATTGTTGAAAAATCGGCTCGGCACCAGTAGTGCTGGTTCACTGAGAAGTCCTGGGGGTGGTGGTAGATTTCGTCAGGGAAGAGGGCAAAGTAATGTCCGTGGTTTTGGTGGTGTTAGAAGGGGAAGAGGTGGAGCTGTTCGTGGTGGCCGTGGTGTGCAAGGTGCTAGGGGAATTGCTCGTGGTGGGCGTGGTGTGCGTGGTGGTAGAGGGTTAACAAGGGGGCGTGGACGGGGTCGAGGCAAAGCTGACAAACCAGTCTCAAAAGACAAGTTAGACGAAGAGCTTGATAAGTATATGTCAAAAACAAAGAGTCATCTTGATGCCGAGCTTGATGAGTACATGCAGCATGCAGATGATGAATAAATAAAGAAAGGACAGAAAAAACTATGAAACTTTGAAGCAAATGCCTGTAAAAACAAGAGAGGACATTTTAGACTGGACAGATATGTCTTTGTTGTATCCTGAAGGATCAAATTCTGGACAGTGTATACTTTTGGCCAAAAAGACCAAGTGGATATTACATGTTTGTAAAGTGAAATATTAGTTACTGGAAGCTAAACTGTAGTACAAAGGAGCAGTTGTTCTCAAGGAGAACAGAAGACATTTAGGGGACGGCTTGTTATTATCTTTCAATATGTTTTACTCTAACTTATTTAGTCTCTTCTTGATCATTTCTTTACACTTGGCATCAGTTGATTATCAAATGTGTGAAGACTTATGTCTCATATCAATTCATATTTAGTTTTAAAGCTTATTATTTTTAATATTAAAATGTTGCAAACAAGGAGATGCATTATTTAAGCATATGACACACAAAAATCAGTCTTTTGATAAACAAATTATGTTAACCATGTTATAATAATAATTACTTATTTCAGGGTTTATTCTAGAGTGTGGCCTTGGAGGATTTCCATAAATTGGGAAAAAATGCCACATAAAATTTACTTAGCCGCGTCAAGTGAGGCACAAAAAAAAATAGGCCAAAGGATAAGTACTCTTTTTTGAAATAAAGTATTCGAAAACATCACTGGCAACAACACTGATTTGACGGTGGCTCTGTAAACTTACTTTGAACTTTTATAGCCTTTTACGGTCTCAATTGCATTTCGCTTCTTCGTTTGAGTCATTATTTCACCAGACAAACATCTGGGAATTTGCAGTAAGTCAAGCCCAGGTTTTTTTAGTTGCCCAGAATGTTCCAAAATGGCATCAAAGCATCTGGCGAGTCCATCTGTAAGTTTAATTACCTTTTGGGGGAACCCCTTTCTTGGACCCCCTTTCTTGAAAAAGGGCCCCCTAAAATTACAGAAGGAGGCCCATTTGAGCCTCATTGGCCAATTATTTCTAGAATAAACCCTGTTATTTGTATTTCATGAAATGGATTTACTTTGTGTAGTTCCAGAAAATATCCATACATTGTCTCTTTGCCATGAGAGGAAATTTTTTCTAAGCCCCCCCCCCCCCCCCCCCCCCCCCCC